GTATTCTTGTATGCTGTACTCCAGCGGCATTCCCACGCTTGCATCTTGGGCACGTCCAGTACGTAAGTTGTGGAACCTGCTGTAGATGTCGCATCATGTCGCGTGTCAGGGTCTTGCACAATTTAATTGGATATCGTGCCGCCTTTGTCGTTCTCTTGAGGCCGTTGGAGTCGTTCATCTGGAGTTTAGCGTGCTGGGTCACACAGTTGCAGAACTGGCTGGTGTCGCGTAGCCTCGCCGAGCCTCTGAACATCGTCCGTTTCCTGATGGGCAGGTCCTGCTCCTCATCGCGTGCTCCGTGACGGCATTGATCAGTCGTGTTATCGTGTAGCGCCCCCTGATACTCTTGAATAAGGTTGTCCAAGTCCTTCAGGGGAGATTCTGTCTAGATGTGAGAACGCAATGGATTTTCCACGATGAAAATGCCGTCGCGTTGCAGTATATCCGGAACTAGGCTACACATGCACCAGTAGAGCATCGGTCGTTCAGCCTGCCGTCGCTGCTCCAGTTCCCGCAGATCTGAACGATTTGGGGATTGTGACCAGGGTCTGCAGAGAAACTCGCACAGCGCGTGTCGTGGACGAAACGTTGGAACAAGTCGCTTCAAGGCCGCACGATCATCATCTCGATGTAGATCCCATCCGTACCTGTAAGCGATCGGTGGTAAAGCGATGCATTAATTGGCATAGACTTCGACAGATCTTCTCCCAGTACCAGATCAGACCTCGAGTAGAAGCGGTATCATCGACTGCTGGAATGTCTCCATGTGCTTCACGGAGTCGTCCACACTGTAGGGCGTAATCATGGGCAGTCGTGCGCGATGGTAGCACTGTTGCAGTATAACTCGGTACTCAGCATCCATCTACTTATGCTCGCTCGCCGTGGAGTTGTCTGGCCAGAGGTCGCTGTGATATCTCGTTTCCTTGAACTGCTTCCAGTGTTTATAAAACGCCTTAGCGTCGCTGCGGTGATAACTCATGTACGCTGTCTTGGTCGAAGGTGCCAGCGTCGCTGAAGCCTCTAGGTGAACGTCTGATTTTAAGTAGATCTTAGGGTCCCTCTCAATATCCAGATCCTTACACAGATCCTGCTTCCTGGGGGCCGCTATCGGTCGAAACTGGGTTTCGGCACTTACCGTTCGTAGGCTTTCTGGTGCCATGTTGGCACATGTATAATCCTCTTGCGCAAGAAGTGCTGCACCATCACCAGGCCAGGGTAACTCAGCGCGGCAGTGCGAGGCACCTGTCGAACGGCGCCGTTCCTGACCAGCCGCAATGGTTCCTGACCGGGCAGTGGCAGCCTTCGCATCGAAATGTAGTGAAAATCCAGGGCTTCGCGTCTGAGTCGTCGTCGGGCAACTGTGAAGTCGCTCAGTAGTGCGATGCTCGATCCTGTTGATGAGGTCCGTGCGCTCGGTGATTGTCTTCTCGTGGAAATCGTCAATCGGCAGGAGAAAATGCTTAGAGTCAGTGAGGTATTGTCTCGTGACACATGCTCTCTGACCAGGTAGTTGCAGCGCCATTATAGCATCTCCATTTGGAAACATGTTGGAAACATGTTCTCGTAGACGATGGATCTCTGTGCCAGCAGGGCAGTGTTGGGCCAGAGTGCGGGACATCTTGATCCATTGCCTCCAACGAGATCGCCGCGATACGTCGTGTTCGGCGGTTATCCACTGACGCCAACCTTGCCGACGAGCTCGCCAGATGATGGATCTGCCTCGCCGCTGATACCCGCGAATGATGGATCCCATCTGCCGCGCTGATACTTGATGCCACGAGGGCCGTAGATGTACTGAACCCACTCTCGAGAGTCTCGGTGCCAAGAAGACCGTCCCTGGCGCCCGGGTCCACGTTGATGCCCAGGCGAGGTTTTTCCTTGAATTGTGATATAGACGGCGTGATCGTTCTCAGCATATGTGTGCACGATCTTGGATGAGTAAGTTCATGGAGTACTGCGCTCGTAGCTCCTCAGCTAATGTTGGATGATTCGTCGGTGGTCCCAGTGTCATCGGCAGTTCCTCTGCAGGGCTCTTGGCAGAGCTACTGGCCGACGCCGTCGATGCCGATGGTGGAGACGCGGTAGCAAATTGGCCATACTGCTGAGCAGTGCGTTCTGCCATCGTAGGACCGTCTTATGAAGCCGCCGCTGAGCATGAGAAAGATGGTCTCCTTGAAGGCACAGGTGCATTGAAGCTGGTGCACGGGTCGCGTTACCACGCTGAGGTAGACGTATTTGTGTTCTTGCCTTTGCCCTTCGTCGTTCTCATTCTGAATGTTGAGCCAAGTGGTCGTAGCTGTGCCTATCTGCGTCGTGCCAAGTGCAATCATGTAAGTCCGCTTCCTGATCGAGCGTGTCGTAGTACTCGTCAAGATGTTGCTGTGCCTGTTCCGCTGAGATCTCCTCAGTCTCGGAGAGTTCCGGGATGACGTGTTGCAGAGGAATCGCATTGGCTACTGGCGTCGCTGTACCAGTCAGACCGCCGGCCGTGGGAACAGGAGAGCTTGCGTCCATATCAGGGAGATGATGGCAGCTGGTAGCCGATGAGCTGTGATAGCTGAAACCAGTGACTGAAGCTCCAGCTCCAGCTGCTTCATGACTAGCATAGCGTCGGCTGCCAGACTTGCCACGATCGCGTGATTTTGAAGATTGGTGAGGTGAATCTGCTGCGGCTGGTTGCTGCTGTCCTTTCGTCGGGCACTGATCACCACGATGCCATTTGCTTCCGCACGTGCTGCCATTCTGAGCTCCACCTTGATTGCCTCTTCCGCCGTAGTTGGGAACGAACTTCTTGCCTTCACGTTTGCTTTTTCCTCTGCTCTTGCTTTTGCTGCTGCGTCGATAACCTTTTGCCGCCGCCGCAGCCTCTTCCTCGATTATTGCCTTTGTTTCCGCCGCCGTAGTTGGTCGCGTAGCCCTCAATCGTGAGCTCCTCCAAGCATTCGCCATCCTGGGCATACTGCAGCCCAGCATCGCCATACATCATATAATATATACCATTAGCCGTCAAGAGTGGCACCCCATCCTTCATCTTCTGTTCAGGCCCCTTCGTACTCGGTCACGTCGTAAGCCTCGTACCAGATCTCGCGATACTCTGTGAGGTCGTGCTCGTTGCCCTTCTGATCGGTATAGAGCGCCCAGACTTGATGATGTTGCGATTGATCTTGCTTGCATGATCTTATAAGTCGCCCACGGATAGCCTGATAGTGTGCTAGGTCTCCGCCGACGTGCCGTTTGATGTCATCGATGCTCTTCTCGCTGAGGTCTGAGCCTTGAGCAGAAAGTGCGCTTTTCAAACCGTATTCATGTGGAGGCCGCCTTCTTCACAAGCGCCCTCGTATGCCATCCCCTACTGCGCGATCCAAGTAGTGAGGTCGCTGTTGCCGCGCCGGCAGTCGAAGTGGGCGTCTAGCACGATGCCCACGCGGTCCTGGTCGTGCAACTCGTACACCCTGGGCGATGCTTAAGAAAACTTGCGTTTTCGGCTAGAGTGTCGGGTGTTTTTAAGGTTTCAATGCCACTCCTAAGATTTTAACAGGAATTCTGGGTTTTTTATTCAAGCCCTGAGACTATGAATTTCTTAACCCATGATTTCTCAACCATTTCGCAGGGTGTACACTGACTTTAACTTGTCCAGGAACTGGCTGATGCCACTGTGTTCTCCGACCACTCCCGACGCTGGCTCTGCGGGAACGGCTGGAGGCGCCATGGCCTCGTCGCCTTTTTGTAGGTCGCGCCGCCGCGCGTGTGAGCGTGCAGCGCATAGCCCGAGTGAGCGGCGGGCCCTTCAACCTACGCGCGATCACAGGCCCGAGGCGCTCCTCACTTTCCTCGTCCGTGATCCTCCATTGTAGTTTCTGCATGTAACGCCCGAGCGCGTATCCTCGTATATTGGGGTCCCACGCAGGTGGTACATTCTTTGTGAAATTTTCCAAGCCCATTCCTCCTTTCTCGTGATCGTCATATCTATCAGCCATGTTGTCGTCGTCGCTGTCAAGGGATGCGGGATGGTCTGGACTCTCGTAGCAAGTGTCGTGGAAGGTGAAGCTCTTGAGGTAGCAATCGAACTTGTAGTTGTTGCCTTCGTCTCCGTAGAGGGTCGCGTAGGGCTCAACCTTGCTGCCGTGGAAGCTCGCGGGGTCGCCCTCTGCGATGCACACGCAGGTGTAGATAAGAATGCTGAATATCAGCCTGATATACTTCGTCGTCTTGATGAAGTTGAGCGCCGCTTGGCGGCGCGGATGGCGCGAGCCGGGCGCGCGTGTTCGCCGGGAGGGGCGGTACCCGGAGCTGGCCGAAACCAGCTCCGCTACCAGAGTTAGTTTCTGGTCGGCTTGAGCCATGGCGGTAGCGAAACATCGTCTCGATAGGAACCGCTCTCTCTTCGCATTCTTTCTGAACATCCTATTATCCCTAGCTGATCTACTATCTTACATATCTTCTACTCCCAGGGACCTAATCCTTACTTGGTGAGGGGGGAGGGGCGTGTACGCGCGCGCAACGAGGGCACGGGTGTCTCTTTGGGGGGGGGGGGGGGGGGGCGGCGGAGGTGGCAGGGAAGGAGAAAGAAAACGACGAGGTATAGGAGGAGGAGGAGGAGGACGACGACGACGAGGAGGAGGAGGAGAAGGAGGAGGAGGAGGAGGAGGAGGTGCAGCAGGCGGAAGGAAGTGGAACATGATGCGATGATGCCGGGTGCAGCGAGGTCAGTAAGGAACCAGTTGCGTCGTTGGAGGCCCGAAATGCATTCGGAAGGACAGGATTGCGGCATCGATTGGAGGGCCGAGTGCGGGGGGAAGGCGCGGCCGCGGGCTGTGGTGGATCATGTTCCTGTCTGTGTTGGGGGATTGGCCGTATCAGCGAAACTACACCAATGGAGCTCGAAGTCCTTCGAGGGCACTGGATGCCTCTGGATCTCCCGCCGGGAACACCTTCAAAAGCCTCGATCTGTTGCTGCCCCCGAAGAGTATTCGAAGTGGGCTCCCGACCTCGCGCGCCAGGTTCGGCTCGCCCGATGGTTCTCCCAGGCCGGCCCCTTTCGCGGCGCATGCGCGGGCGAAGTCGTCGTCTCCGCTGCCGTCGTCGGCGTCGTCGTTGTTTTCTTTCTCCTACTCCCTCCCTGTGTCCTCTCTGCCGTCCTTCCCGTGCTCCTCTTCCTCATCCACTTCCTCGGCTCCCTTCCTCCAGTTCCTCCTCGCTCTCCTCCTCCCCCCTCCCTCCTCCCCTCTCCTCCTCCTCCTCCTCTTCTTCCTCCTCTTCCTCCTCCTCCATTATTTCCTCCTTATCTACACTATTTCCTGCTTCCTCCCCTCCTCTTCCTTCTCCTCCTCCTCCAGCAGTGCCCCAACAAGTAACACCTATCTTCTCTTAAAATCCGGGGGCACCAAGCGGTGCGATGGTCTCACCGTGTGGTGAGTCAGTGGGGGTTTGGCGTAAACGGTTTCTGGGAATTGAGTCGTTCTCCGAGGAATTCTCGGGCGATTGGGGCCTCCAGTTTCCCAAGTTCTTGCGATGACGGTCCGTGCGGTGAGCTCGTTGGAGATTCCGAGGTCACGGCACGGTCTGTCATTGCATTATTTTGGACCTCCCAAGCAAGCTTTCGCAAGTAGGGCAGTGAGGCGGCACTTCAAGAGGGCGGCATCCGATGAGAAGCGGGCGCCGATACAATTTCGAGATGGGCGTTGGCTGAAGATTCGGTCGATTGAAAGTAAGTTGAGATGCTGCGGCCGGTATTCAATGGGAACGAGCTGATGTTTGCCAGATCTGGCGCCCTTGGAGGGGCTCCAAACCCCTGTGCTCCCCGCCGCCGCCCTTGCGAACAAATTCTTCACGCTTCGCGTATCCCCACCAGCCCATCTCAAAACAGCAACTCTTGCGAAGCATGCCGACAGTCGTGTTTTTCAGGCGCGTTTCCGCCTGCCCCCGCATATCTCCGGGCCTCTCGTCCTGGTGTGAGTCGTTCGGGCCCTTCTTCCTGGTGTGAGTCGTTCGGGCTCTTCGTCCTGGCGTGAGTCGTTCGGGCTTCTCGTGGTGTGAGTTGTTCGGGCCCTTCGTCCTGGTGTGAGTCGTTCGGGCTCCTCCTCCTGGTGTGAGTCGTTCGGGCTCCTCGTGGTGTGAGTCGTTCGGGGCCCTCGTCCTGGTGTGAGTCGTTCGGGCTCCTCGTGGTGTGAGTCGTTCGGGCGCCTCGTCCTGGTGTGAGTCGTTCGGGCCCCTCCTTGTGGTGTGAGTCGTTCGGGCTCTTCGTGGTGTGAGTCGTTCGGGCCCCTCGTCCTGGTGTGAGTCGTTCGGGCTCCTCGTGGGGCCTCTTGGGGGCCTCTTGGAGCCTCTGGGGGCCTCTTGGGAGCCTCTTGGGGGCCTCTTGGGGGCCTCTCGGGGGCCTCGTGGAGCCTCTGGGGGCCTCTCGGGGGCCACTTGGGGGCCTCTTGGGGGCCTCTTGGGGCCTCTTGGGGGACTCTGGGGAGCCTCTTGGGAGCCTCTTGGGAGCCTCCTGGGGGCCTCTTGGGGCCATCTTGGGGGCCTCTTGCGACCTCCTCTGAAGCGCAAAGGAGCGCTGCCCCCTGAAAAGGACAAAATGAGGCCAAAACCTTCGTAAAATCAGCGATTTTGCTATGGAGGAAGAGAAGCGCGGCCCCCTCAGGAGGCCAACATGGGGCCAAAACCATAGTAAAATCAATGATTTTGGCTTCAAAGAAGAGCAGAGGGGCCAAACTCGCCCCCCCCGTCGGGGCCAGAATCCTCGTGAGGGTCGTCGTTTTTTGGCCCTCCCAGGAGTCGAAAAAGACCCCCCTGAGAACACCCGGGACTCCCTGTCCAGGCCCAGGGGGAGGGGGGAGGGGGAGGGGTAAACCCCTCCCCGAAGAGGAAGAAGGGGGGTTGGGGGGTTGAGAACAGAGAAAGCTCCCTAAACCACTCACGCCCAAAGGGCTGGTGGGACTCCAGCGGCGAGAGTTGTTGCCCGCGCGCAGGTGAATGCGTATCGCTCTCCGGAGGTGGCAACTGTTGCCACGCACCTTCCGTCACACATGGCGGTGCTATCATGCAATCTGGGGTCGCGCTCTCTGCCCCGGCCCTCCTGTATTGAGTCGGGTCCTCGCTTTGAATCCGCAGCGCCACGCGTCACTCCTACATTCCTCCCCCCCTACTCTCTCGGCTCTCTGCATGCCCATTTCGGCGCACCAATTGCCAGTTTCGTGGCCCCACTGGGAGCTAAGTCCTCAGTGGCATGGTCATGGTACCGCACAGCGCCACACTGCTCATCTCGGCACTCTTCACAAACGCTTCGTGGCCCCACAGGGAGCTCCACTGCAGGCCTCATTGGCGTGGTGCCGCATAGTCCCGCCCATGTCGGCACACCCTTCACACGCGTCGTGGCCCCATGAGAAACTCCACGGAAGGCCCTAGTGGCCTGCTATTCTATGCGGTCCCCCCGCCCATTTCGTCATACCCTTCACACCTTTCGTGGCCCCGCAGGGAGCTGCACCGAAGGCTCCAATGGCATGGTGTCGCATAGCGCCCCCCGCCCATGTCGGCACACCCATCAGGCGTTCCGTGTCCACACAAAGAGCGCTTTCGAATGCCTCAATGGCAGGGTCTCTTATGCGCCCCCTCCCCCACCGCGTATTTCGGCACACCCGTTACGCGCTTCGCGGCCCTAAAGGGATTTGTTTCCATCTGATGAGAGGGTTCTATCCTGCGTTTCTCGGAGCTGCCTTGGGTGGGGTCCTTCGCAAGAAGTTCCAGGATAATCGGTTAGGTGTCACCCTGCACTGCACACTGCCCCTCACGCGAGAGGGGGGGAGAGGCGCGGTGCGAGGCAGTCGCGGATAGCGAGGCGTTCCGCGATGAGATACGATATCAGCACTCGGCTAGATCCCGCGCAGTCCTAGATTAACGGTGCGCGTGTAGTGGCACGGTGCAGCAGGTCGCGGGCCCGAGTGCTCGATGGACTCTAACGCCCGATGTTTCTTTCCTGCCTGGAGAAGACGCGCGTCGGCTCCGGAGAGTTTCACTTGGGGGTCTGCACCTCGCGGATCTTCTTGGCAAGTCTTCCCTCCACTTCGCTCCACCCGAGTGCTCTCCATGACTCTCCCTCCTCCACTTCGCAGTTGGCCACCCTTCCGCCTCCTCGCCCTCCTCCAGCCGGCCTTCGTCGGCGCCAGAAGCTCCGCGGAGGCTTCTCGAGGGAGCACCGCCGCAGGTCGTCCGAGCCCCGCGGAGGGAGGAGCAGACCCAGACCCCCTCGAGTAATGAAAAAATCACGACGGGCGGTTTTTCCTAATTTTCGGCCTCCGGGGGCCCTCACCGGGCCTCGGGACCGTCAAAAAACGACTCAGGAAGCAAAGCCGGTCATGGGGAAAGGGTCGGGACTTCTGGGGGTCGACGTAATGAAAAAAACATTACGTCGGGGGTCTGGGGAGCGCGGGGGCCGGGGGCCGGAGGCTCTGGCCTCAGAAGGCTCCAGCAGCCTGTCGCGCCCAGCGGTCGGCGCCGATGTCCAGGGCCCCCAGGCCGCCCACAGGGTCGAGGTCTCCCCGGGCCAGCGACCAGAATAGATGAGGGCGTTGGGGGGCTCAGGGGGGGGGGGAGGGACGCTGGGGGGAGGTGGGCGAGGGAGGCTGGCCAGAAGCAGACAGAGCGCGGGGGCCGGGGGCCAGGGGCTCCGGCCTCGGAGGGTTTCCAGCAGCTTGTCCTACGTCGGGCGTGTCGCTCTACAGGAGGAAGAGTCCCAAATCATTCAAACGATAGTCTGGAGAGACGATTTGCCGAGGGTGTTTTTGGCTCTATGTTCGCGCATTTGTCGACTAGGTTTTATTTGTCCTCGAAAGTCAGCCTATAGCAGGACATGCCCGACCTAAAACTCGTCGCGCCCAGCGGTCGGCGCCGATTTCCAGGGCCCCCGGGCCGCCCACAGGAGCGATCCAGGAAGAGCGGCTGTCCCTGGGGCACAGGGGGTCGAGGTCTCCCCGGGCCATCGACCAGAATAGAGTGGGGCGTTGGAGGCCTCAGGTGCGAGAACGGTGCCCATGCACCGTGCTATGCCTGGACCGCGTTCGGGCCCCGCTCCAGCGCGGTACGGTGCATCTTTGGTTCGTCTCGGGGGGTCGGAGAGAGATGCACCGTGCCATTCCTGGGTCGAGAATCGACGACGCCACGAGAGGCGCCAACACGGTACTCCAGATTTCGTAATAAAGGAAGGGGGGTCTCATTTCGGGGGGGGTCTCTTCCAGGCTATCTTGGAGGGCCTGGGGGGGTCTGGGGACGATGTTCTGGAGGGTTCTCCCACGGGGGGGGGGTCTGAAATGGCTTGTCTTGGAGGGTCCAGACCCCCTCCCTTTTATTACGAAATCCGGAGTACACATCGTACGCGGATCAGGGGGGAGGGGGGGGGGGACGTTTTGGGGGGGGAGGCGGGAGAAGCAGGTGGGCCACAGAAGCGCAGCAGAGACGCACACGCACGCGAGGTCGGGCGGGTTCCGAGAGAACGCCGCACGCGAGCGTCCCTATCGCGGGGGCGGCCTCGCGAGTAGGGGAGCATGTTCGTGTGCGTGGCTGGGCGCGTACGTTCTCTCGGGGATCCCTGGCAGGGGCCATTTCGATTCGATCGATCCGATTTGATATCCACTTCGGCAGGTTCGATCCGAATCGGTTTCGATGCTCCGACGATCTGATGCGGCTCGATGCTTGCGTTGTGCTGTGCATCTTGGCGCGGCCGATCCGATCCGATCTCGATTCCGTTCCGGTGCAGGCCGATCCGACGCATGTTCCGACCCGATCGGGTTTCCCGATTCGATGCTCGCTGATCTTGCCTACGTAGTACGGGGGACAGGGGCAGGCGGGGGATTGCGAGGTGTCTCGCTGCTGACTCCCAGGATGGGTTTCGAGAGCCTCGTGCCCCTTCTCCCTGCCTCCATCTTTCCTCATGCTCCTTCCTCACTTTCTTCCTCCTCCATCCTGCCTCCTCCTCCTCCTCCATCATTCCTCCATCCTCCTCCACCTCCTCCACCATTCCTTTTCCATCCTGCCTCCTGTCTCCTTCCTCTCTTCTCTTGTCCGTCCTCCATCCCTTCTCCTCCCTCCTCCTGCGTTCGTGCACTCGCGTGGATGTCGCAGGTTGTCCGTGCTCTCTTGGTGGAGTTCGGCCGTGCCATTATTCGTGAAGGTTGCAAGTTGCAAGCAACGGGTGGCAAGAGTCAAGAGTGGAGGAGGACGGAAGGAAGAGTAGAGTACGATGAGGAGTTGTTACTTATCATGTCGCGACGGCGGCCCCGGCGACACGCCATACCTTGAGAGCGAGTTGCGTGTCGCTCCGCTCTGCGGGACGGGAGGCTTGGAAAGCCTCCGGATGTGGACGTTTGGGGGTCAGGACGTGGTTAGCGCGTCGCGCCGAGGCTTGATAGGCCAGAACTGGCAGAGCGAAACGCTAAGCTGGTGTTCCGGACCGTAGGTTCCCAGGAAGGGGTCTAGAGGTCTTGGGGCTGCGCCTTGGAATTGCACTTCAGAGGGTCAAAACGGCAGCTGTTCGCACGAGGCCCGTGACGGGCGGCGCGCGCAGGCGGTGGATGTAAGCAAGAGGCATGTGTGACTTGTAGTGCCATCTGCTCTCTATCATCTGGGCTCTATCCGCCCCATACTTTCTGACTACATGTGTCTGTGCATGTTTATGCACATATACACAGATACGCGCACATACTTAACTATCGTTCCACATCCCATCCCACCCCGTGAAAAATTGAGGGTCAAGTTATGATGTTCGAACCTATCTTAGCTTTGGCCATCAGAAAGAATTTCGAGCACCAAGAAAGTAAATAAACTGCGGTGTTGTCACGTGTCGGGCCCTGGGAGGCGATACTCGTTCGACACTATTTCGATACCTTTCTGGGTGCCCGAAATTCTTTCTGGGATGTGGTCATGAAGTACGATGGGAGCAACGTAAGGGTAGAGACCGGGGCGATGGCAGTCATCGCATCTCCGCCAGTTCTCTCCGCCTCCTCCTCCTTCTGATTTTCACATACCGTCTTCTCCGCCCTGCCCTCCTCTTTCACCTCGTCGCCGGCGTCGTCGTCCTCCTCCTCCTCCTCATCCTCCTCATCCTACTCCCCCCCCCGTCTCGCTAAGTGCCTTAGGCGGTCGGCGGCTCCTGGCATTCCTTGGGCTCCGGGCTCGCGGCCGGCGCAGTCCTCCTCCTCCTCCTCCTCCTCCTCCTCCTCCTCCTCCTCACTCATCATTTCCCTTGTTGGGGAATCTGCGACGTTGGGGAAATATGGTGATCCGAGGCTCCTGCCAGATTTTTACTAGATCTTGTTTCCCCCGTCCACCGCAGCCCACCCCCACCGACGAATTTCATTTTCTGTGTTTCCCGCGCGAGTTTGTTTGCCCTCCTGCTCGCGCTCCGCATCCTCCTCGTGGCTCCCTCTATTCCCTATTCTTCCTACCACTCATCACCATCATCATCCTTCTCGTCTTTCACTGGGCAGAAAAGAGTTAGGAGACTTCTCCAGGATTGAGGTCTGAAGAAGGTCGAGTAAGAGGTGGATGCCTGAGGAAGAGGAGGGTTGGGGAGGCGGCTAAGGAACGTTGCGGAGGAGGATTTGCCTGGAGGGTTGCGGAAAGGTGAGTCGGATAGGGGAGGAGGCGGAGGGGGCACAGGAAGAGACGGGAGGAGGAGGAGGAGGAGGAGGAGGAGGAGGAGGAGGAGGAAATGGCGGATGATGATGTTTGTGCAGGAGGGTCGAGGAGGAGGGGATCTGGGAGGCTCGCCAGTGCCCGAAGGGGTGGTTGGCCCGGCACGCGCGCGAGCGTGAGGCATTCCAAGGACCTGCCGCGCTGGCAGCAGGAGCAGCTCGGCAGGCTGATGGCCAGGTGGGGCCCATCGGCCGCCGCGCCGCAGTCCATGGCCAGGCCAGGCTAGGCCAGGCAGTGCAGAGGGGGCTCACCACTGAGATGTGTCGCCAGCTCCTCCCCCCAACCTCCTCGCGTTGTGAGGCATATCACGCCGAAAGTCCCCGCCCTCACCAGGCCCAGGGGCCGTCAAGAAACTACCTGGGATGAAAAGCCCGTCCCAGGGAAGGAGTCCAGACTTCGGGGGGTCCACGTTGTGAAACCGATCATCACCTCGGAGTTCTGGGCCCTACCGAGGATCGAGGTTCGAGGATCGAAGATCGAGCAAGTTGTCCTTGCTTTCTCTGAATCGTTGTTTGGGTGGCTCTGGGGTTTGGGGGGTCATTGGGGCCCCATTTTATGGAGAAAGTGGCGACCACCCCAGTGATGACTCCCCCCCAGCACTGCTTGGACAGCGGAACCGTTCACGGAGCGAAGGTAGCTCTCGGAGATGATGCGCGCGGTGGGCGGGGTTCGGCGGAGCATGGGAGGAGGAGGGAGGAGGAGGAGGAGGAGGAGGAGGAGGGGAGGAGGAGGAGGAGGAGGAGCGGGACGGAGCGAAGGTAGGGAGGAGGCGGGCGGAGGAGGAGGAGGAGGGGGAGGAGGAGCAGGGGGAGGAGGAGGAGGAGGGGGAGGAGGAGGGGGAGGAGGAGGAGGAGGACGAGGAGGAGGAGGAAGAGGAGGAGGAAGAGGAGGAGGAGCATGAGCCTGTCGGGTTGCACAGCCCTGACGGTGGCTGGCCCCTGCGCTCGGAGACGGGCCATGGCCCGCCCTTCCTGCAGTGGTGCCGGGGGGCCCCTGTCTGACCGGGGGCACCGGACGGACTGTGCGCCTCAGCGCTGTGCCAAACCTCGCGCGAAGAATCCGCATCGCGACGGTGAGGATCAGCACCAAGGCGAGCTTCACCCGAGGGAGCTCATCCAGCTCTGAAGCACCGCATATCGCAGCACGCTTCCCTCGAGGAAGGTGCACCACGATGGTGTTAGGAGGAGGAGGAGGAGGAGGAGGAGGAGGAGGAGGAGGAGGAGGAGGAGGAAGAGTGGGAAGAGTGGGAGGAGTGGGAGGAAGAGGATGAGGAGGAAGAGGAGGACTTTGAAAATGAGGAGGAGGAGAATCCAAGTATCCTACATTTCTGTTGTTGTACCTCCAGAGGCCTGTTTGAGCCGTGCGGGGACCCCTGGAGACGTCTTCGGGTTTCAGTAGATCGGTGCCGCAGGAGGGGGGTCTTTGGGAATGGGGGGTGCAACCATTGCCGTATGCAGCTGGTTTCGGCCCCGCAGTGCCCAGCACATCCCTCGCATGTACGGGCGGCCTGTGGCGTCTCCCGCTGCATGGGGAAGCCGCCTGCATGCATCTGAGTATGTAGCTCTCCGCAGGGGGGACGGGTCCCAAGCTCTGGGGCTCATCCGAGGACCAGCTTTTCATCCCGTAGAAGTCGTGACGGATCTGTGGCCCCTGGAGGGCTCCAGGGTCGGTCGGTACGATCGAAGCGGGTGCGGAAAGTATGGGGAGGAAGGCCGAGGGCAGATCCTGCCCATTTTGCACGGGAATCGCTGTCGGTGTCGCCGCGGACGGTGTCACAGGAAATCGCCTGCCCACGGCAGCAGCTACCGAATTTGCACAACATTTGATGATTCGCATTGTACCGTTTTTTCCGCACCCTTCTCGGGCGTGCCAACACGGGGCCCAGCGGTTTGCTGATTTTTCCTGCGATAGGCCATTAGTCGGCCGCGAGACCGTGCATTCCTGATACTTCAGGGGGGGGCTCAAACAGCATCACTCTACTATGCCGTCTCAGGGGTCTTGGTGAGGCAGGTGCACAGTTTATCCTGTCATCCAGAGGTCCACATCATTTCCTCCTTCTCCTGCTCCTTCTCCTCCTCCTCCTGCTCCTCCTCCTCCTCCTCCTCCTCCCAACCAAGCCCCAAGACAAGCAAACGCAGCGCCTACTGACGTGCTCGTTGTGGTTCGTTCTGGGGGCATGCTCGTAGGACCGCCCACCCCTCCTCGCGCGCGCGCAGGCGGTCCTCGGACCCGGCGCGGGAGACCACCAGCGCGCAGGAGGAGCAGGCTTACAGAGCGAGGCGGGTCGGGTATGGGGGGCGCGCGGCTGCCTCATCTTCTGCCTCCTCCTCCTCCTCCTCCTCCTCCTCCTCCTCCTCCTCCTCCTCCTCCTCCTCCTCCTCCTCCTCCCCCGCGGCGAGATTCGGAGAGGCCGCGAGAAGCTGGCAAGGAGCCAGCGTGGTCTGCACCCCGGTCGGCGGTCTTCGGCAGCAGCCGCGGCCTGCGACGAACGGGGGAGCTCGGCGTGAGGCAGCCCTCCGCCGTCCTCCTGGCCTACTCGGCCCCTCCGTTTCCCGGGTGGGCCCCCCGCAGGTTTTTGTCGGCGCCAGGGAACCTTGAGAACTTCGCTAGGCTCGTTCGCTTCTCGCAAACGAACTCTCGCCGCTCATCCTCGAGCTCCCCTTCAATCACCAGGCTGCTCAGACGAGCGAGGGTACTCGGGGAGACACCCCTGGGGAGCTATTCGGACGCACCCCTCGCCACCCCATCGTATATCCCCAAGCTTGGCTCAAGTTTTTAGTCCAGTGGAACACCCCCCTAAGTCGGGGATTGTGGTCGCCATGCTGGCCGTTAGTTAGCCCCTCCTCCTCCTCCTTCTCATCCTCCTCCTGCTGCTTCATCCTCTTCGTGCTCGGGAGCCGACTCGTCGGGTCGCCGCCGCTTGCCGGCCACAGCAGCTTCTTCGGCGGCCTCGAGATACGGTTGTGCTTGAATCCTCTGGCGCGCCATGCTCGCGACCTGCTCTTGACTACCCCCGCGTGGCGGTCGTGCGGGTGTGCGCGGGGGGGAGGGCAGACCCAGGCCCGCGACAGGCACGCTGTGCTGCTCGCAGTTGTGCTGCGGTGCGCACAGGCGTGCCCTGGTGCTCGCAGGCATGCTGATGGTGCTCGCGGGCTGCTGCACCACTCGCAGGGTCGTCGGCGCTTCTCGCGGACAGATCGCGCTGCTCTCTGGGTATCGCCTGTTCTCCGGAGCTTGCCAGGACACCACGTTGCCGTCCGCATCCATCGTCGGGCGAGAGAGGGGGATAGGGAAGCAGGGGTTGCGAGATCTGCTGCGTGCAGCTGGTCTCGGCCCCGCGGCCAGACGCTTTCCTGGCACATTGGCGCCTCCAGCGCCGGGAGGCGCCGGGAGAACCAGTTACGCGAGCTGATTCGCTAACCCCACCCTTGTGTAGCTTCCCCTTTTGTCTGACCGCATCCGTCGGGTCGTAAATCAGTGTTCGCGGCGCCATCGACGCCACCCCGCCCTGTGGTGCCGTCGCCTCCTACGTACATTCAGCCTTGTCGTCGTCGGGATTGCGCGCAACGCCCGAGAGCCTTGCCCCGCGGCGGCCGTGAGGTTGGGGAGCCCGCTCAAGCGGAAGGAGGAAGCCAACACAGACAAAAGATTCGGTGATCCGCGCGTTCCCTGGCGTGCGGAGCGCGCCAGGCGGCATGCAGCGCGGATCAAAGAGATCCGTTCGGACCTCCGAAAGGTCATGCTTATGCTGTGTGGTGTTCCTTTCTTCCCCCTGTTGCGGGAATGTATCTTAGCCAGGCCCAGATTACCCGCGGGGGCCCGAAGATCATTGCGGTTCGCGCGTCGATGTCTGGGCCAGAGCGGTTGCTCTTCTCCATGTGGCGTCGCGAGGGCGCGAAGGTAATCGCGGTTCGCGCATCTCGGTTTGGGCCAGAGCGGTTGCTCTTCACCATGGGGGCGCGCGAGGGCTCGAAGGTAATCGTGGGGCGCGGGGCGCGAGCCGCGAAGTTTTTGTTGGGGGCCCGCCAAAAGCCCAGATCGCCCCCTCCTCTCCCTGGTCGGCCTCGGGTCCCCTTGCCGCCCTGCACCCCGCCTTCGGAGAGGGGCCCGGGCGCAGCGCTTCTCCGGCCGCTCGGTCGGGCGGCGTCCTCTGTGTGGGAGGTGGCCCTGGCCTCCAAAGCGCCCCCATCGCGAGGCCCCGAGGGCCCCAGGGGGCTCCAAAAGGGCGCGAGGGGCTGAGGGCGCCCTGGGCCAGGAGCACCCCTGGCACCACCCGAAGCGGGGGGGCGTGGGAATCAGGGCCGGGCTCTGGGCGGCTGTGTCACGGGTCCCACTTCAGGCGGGGGGCACGGGGGAGCAGGGCATCGCAGGCGAGTTCTCGCCCCCCAATCCCCCATTCTCTCCAACAAAGTCATGTTTTTTCAACAACAATGGGGACCTCGGGGATACATCCCCAGAGGGGGCTGTTCGGACGCACTCCTATCGAGGATGGACACCCCTGTCGTGCATCCCTGAGTTCGAACCATCCTGTGGTGTTGGGCCCTCGTTTCGAAGAGACAGGGCCCCGCGTCTCCTTGCTTCCTTCTCCTCCCTCTCCCCCTCTTTTCCTCCCATCCTTGCCTCTGCCCTCCGCGTCTCAACCACTTCGGTACACCCCCCACATGTTTCGTGACCCCATCGGCCCCAGAGGCGAAGTTCGCACGCGTCTCCCCCATTCAGTACAGCGCTTCGTGGCCCCATGAGGAGCTCCCCCGAAGGCCCCAGAAGCGACGTTCGCATGCATCTCCCCCACCCAGTATAGCGCTTCGTGGCCCCATGAGGAGCTCCCCCGAAGGCCCCAGAAGCGACGGTTTTGTGCGTCTCCACCCAGTGCAGCGCTTCGTGGCCCCATAGGGAGCTTCACCGAACGCGACAGTGGCCGCGGCCACATGCGTCTCCCCCAACTCAGTACAGCGCTTCGTGGGCCCCTAGAGAGCTTCACCGAACGCTCCAGTGGCCGCGGCCGCATGCGTCTCCCCCGCTCTAGTACAGCGCTTCGTGGCCTCCTTGAGAGCTTCACGGAACGCTCCAGTGGCCGCAGCCGCATGCGTCTCCCCACCCATTACGACAAATCCTTCACGCGCTCCATGGTTTCATAGGGAGCTCCGCCGAGAGAGGTACCCACAACGCGGAGCTCACACTTTCATGTGGTTGGGTCTGTCGCCTGGATCATTCTGCCCACCCGAAAAAAAAAAACTCCACGACGTCTGCGATCGCTTTCGCCAGACCCCTCGTTGGGACGAGTCGGCATGTGCGAAGTGGTCCCGAGGGAAGGCGGTCGCGAGCGTAGGCTCCGGCCTCCCCCGCTGGCGGGGCACTCGCCGGCGTTCCCTTCCTCCTGCCTCCTTCGGCCTCGGGAGGTGGACCCTCGAGGTGAGATCCTCCTCCTTCTCCTCCTCCTCCTCCTCCTCCTCCTCCTCCTCCTCGAGGAGGAGGAGGAGGAGGACCCTCGGGGGGAAGCGATGCAGACTCCAACCTCTATTTTGCACTATGGCACTGCATCGCAGAGGGCCTACCGTGTCCTTCCAGCGTTGGCCGGATCGTGGGCGCTCAGTGTTGGTGCTTCTCGTGGCAGCCGTTTTGGCCTTGTCTTTGTTCGGCTTGGGCAGTGCGTTTTTGCCATGGCGCGTCGATGCATGTTGAGTTGTGCGACGCCGCCCCGGCCTTCCACCGACAATGCCCCGTCGGCGGCGTTGGATTCCTTGCGGAGGCTTGCGTGCACAGTGATGGGTCCTTTTCGGTTTCTCCGTCGATGGCGTTGTCCTGTGCCTCTGCGCCCCCCTGGTGCGGCTTCACCGCCTTCGGCTTGGGGGTGCCTCCCGGGTTCCGTCGTGACGGCGCTCGGCGGCGGGAGGGCGTCCAGAGTAGACGGGGCTCTACTGATCAGGGCCGTGCTGTGCCCCCCGCGGCTCGCTGTGAAGCGGCGCAGAGGTGTGATGCGGAGGAAGGGGGGACCGGGGAACGGGTCCAACATCTGGTTCACTCACGGGGCCGCCCTCTGAGAGCGTTGAGCGCGGCCCGGGGGCCCGAGGCCCCATGAAGCCGTTCAGAAGCCTGCAGAATTGCTGAGCCGACGTAGCATATCAAGAGCCGTGTGATTCTCCTCAGGAGACCTCTCAGCCATTCGTCATGTCTCCAAGAGGCGACTTATACACATATTTAGTTATACACACATATTTATATATGTATTTATATTTATATACATACAGAGAGAAAGATGGATCGGACTCACTCTGGGGCCGCTCGGACGCCTACCAAGACCTTCGATGTGTTGATGTTTTCCGGCCATCTTGTGGTGTTGGGTCCCCGTTTTGAAGACACTGCGCCCCGCGTTTCTCCTCACTCACCTTCTCCCCCTCACTCTCCTCGGTATCGTTTAACCGATCCCCATCCCCACCCCCATCCCCTTCGAGACCCCCACCAAATTACCACCCCAGTCGGGGATACACCCCTCGCAACCCGAAGTGAACGACCTATATCCCCATCTAGGGGGGTAAATCGGCCAGTGGAGCCCAGGCCACGCCGCTGGGGATGGGGATCGGTTAATCAAACGATACTCATCTCCCTAGTCCCTCCCATCCTTGCCTCTGCCCTCCGCACGTCCTCGTCATCATCAGCAGCAGCACTATCATTAAGTCGGGCCTGTCCCTCTACAGGGGGAATATTCAAAAACAGTGAGAAAATAGTATGGGGACGATGTTTGGACAATTTGTGAGTATTGTGGGTTATGTTTAAATATCTTTAAGTTTTCGTTCAAACTCCGCCTGTAGGGGGACAGGCCCGACTTAACATTATCAGCACGACCATCATCGTGATAATTCTCGCCGCCACTGCTTTCGGTATCGCCACCGCAATCACTATCAGCCCTTCTTTCACACCCATCACACTTTTCGTGGCCCTATAGGGAAGTCCACCGAAGGCCCCAGAGGAGGTGTCCACATTCGGCCGCCCCACCCGTTTAGGCACACCCCTCAAACGCTCCGTGGCCCCCGTAGGAAGCTCCACCGAGGGCCCCAGTGGCGGTGCCCACATGCGGCCGCCCCACCCGTTGTTTGGCAGACCCCTCACACGCGCGATGGCCCCGTAGGGAGCTCCACCGAAGACCCCAGTGACGGTGTCCACATGCGGCAGCCCCACCCATTTCGGCACACTCCTCACAATTTCCGTGGCCCCAAACGGAAAACGCAAGCCCCAGCGGCGGTGTCCGCATCCAGCCACCCCCCATGCCAGCACACCCTTCACACGCGTCGTGCCCCCATAGGGAGCTCCACCAAAGGCCCCAGTGGCGGTGTCCACATGTGGCCGCCCCACCAATTTCTGCACTACCCTCATACGTTTCGTGGCCCTGGAGGCGGCGCCCACATGCGGCCGCCCCCTCATTTCAGCACACCCCTCAAACGCTTCGTGGTCCCATCAGGAGCGCCACCGAAAGATCCTTTGGCAGTATCCACACGCGGCCGCACCACCCATTGCGGCCCCAGAGGCGGTGTCCACATGCGGCCGCCCAAACCATGACGGCCCACCCCTCACACGATTGGGTTACCCTATCGGTAGCTCCACCGAAGGCTCCAGTGGCGGTGTCCATATGCCTCCGCTCCACCCTGCTCGGCAGACCCCTCACACGCTCCGTGGCCCCATGGGGAGCTCCACCGAAGGCCCCAAGGACGGTGTCCACATGCGGCCGCCCCGCCCCAGTTCGACACACCGTACACACGCTTCGTGGCCCCACTGGGAGAGCGAACGAAGGCGATACTCGCAACGACGGCATTCCCATCTGCACATTGTTGGGTCCTTCGCCAGGATGATATTCAATACGGAGTACCTTGAAGTCCCGACCCGTTCCCCAGAGTCGGCTTTTCGTCATGAGTCGTGTGTTGACGGTCCTGGGGTATGGTGAGGACCCCTTTGAGACGGACATCGAGGAAGAACCTCCCTCTTGATTTGTACCGGATGTTGGTCGGGGGACCTCACAGGAGCTCATTGTTTCCCAGTGCGCCACCCCTTTGCGCATTTCTTTGCTTCCCAGCGAGGCGCCAGTCCATGCCGAGCATGGACAATGCCTTGCGCAAGGAGTGCGCGGCCAGAGGAAATGGGGAAGATGAGGATGGGAATGGCGCGGCAAGATTGCCAGCGGCCCCTGAGATCCTGGCGTCGCATTCCTTCACGACGGGCGATGTTGCATTGTTTCGGGTTCCGAGGCCTTCACGCATTGATCGGTTTCGGAAAATATTTCAGATTGATGGGGTTTAGAGCTTTGGCCGTGATTTCGATAACGGTTGAATGTATTCGCTGTGGCGGATCCCAGTGAATTATGGATCTAGAACGGAGTGGTAAGTTTTAATGTTTAGGTTCGGCATGTGAGCCGAAAAATGATCAGCATGAGCAGCAGCTTTCGGAGGCCCGCGCGGAGCGGCGCCAGAGGCGGCGCCAGAGGTTCCTGGCGCGATCCAGCAAATCCGCGCGGACCTTCGAGAATTTATGCTGAAGTTGCCTGCTTTTCTCTTTGGAGTTCTGAGGAGGGAGAAGTGGGACGCTTTTGTTTGTGGGTGTGGAGTTTTTCGACACAACTTTGGGCCTCTGGAGCCGACCTTAGAGACCTCCAAGCACCTACGCGGGCCGTGGGGGATCAGGATCGGGAAGTGGAGGGGGAGCGGGAGGAGGAACACGAGGGCGACGTGGCGGCGAGCTGGCGCCACACAGCTGGCACGAGGGCTGAACAAAAACACGCCCTGCTTTTGGTGATCGTCTTCTTATTCCTTGTTTTGCCGATCGGCGCGGGCTCTCGCACCCCCCCTCCCCCTCCCCCTCTCTGGAGTACACCTTCGGCGATGCTTAAGAAAACTTAAGTTTTCGGCCAGAGTCTCGATTATTCTTAATGCTTCAATGTAAATCCCAAGATTTTAATAGAAGTTCTGGTTTTTTATTCAGATTCTGAGATGATGAATTTCTTAACCCATGATTTCTCAAGCATTTCGCAGGGTGTAGATCTTGGCTGCTTTTGGCGCCTATTCCGAGCAGGTGGAGCCTCCCTCAGAGGACGCCCTGCCGCAAACACAGCCGCGCTGAGCAGAGGCCCGGAGCCAGACGCCAGACCCTCCCCCCCCCTCCCCCCCCTCCTTCCGCCCAACGTCGAAACGCCGCATGGGGCCCTCCACCGCGGGATGCTGCTCGTGATGTGCATCTCCACGACACCTGGGACCATCGCCGGCGGGGCTCGCGTTGGTGGCCCACGCTCCTTGGCTGCACTCCGGCCGCCCTGGCTGGGCAATGAGAAACATGCACGTGCGCGGATCTTGACCAGGCTGGAGGGTTTCTCCGAAGGGCTGAGGCGACCCGTCCTCCTCCTCCTCCTCCTCCTTCTCCTCCCTCCTTCTCCTCCCTCCTCCTCCTCCTCCTTCTCCCTCCTCCTTCTCCTCCTCCTCCCCCTCCTCGCCATCCCCTCCTCGGGTCGCCTACGGCCCCGGGGGAAACTGTGCAGACCAGGCCCATCTTGCGCGCGATGGGGCGCGGCTGGAGGCGCCGCGCTAAATCGTCTCACACTTTTGCCAGAGCTGCGATGGACGGAGGCTCCTCTACAACGGGTTCATCTCTTCTGCGGCTTCTATCCGGTTAGCGGCCACACTTTGTTCAACACGCTGCTAGCTCTTGCGACTTCGGTGAATTGAGCGACCACCAGGTTGAACATGTATGACAACTGCACGGGCGGAGAGCGGCTCCTTCTTCAAGCTGGGCCTCGCTGTTGAGATCCTCAAGTTTCATCGCCAGCAGCGCGATTGCGTGCAACAGTTGCACGGACGGCCGCGAGTTCTCATGCTTGGGCTCTGGTTGCATGCGACTGCGTGCAACAGTTGCACGGGGGGGGGGGGCGCGCGAGCTCCTTCGCATAATCGCGGGGTTATTGCTGCACACGTAGTTGGACAGCACGACAATACCTTTTCGCATTCGCTGCGAATCGCAGGACGGATGCAAGACTGCAAGGGTGTCCCGGGGCTCTCGCCTGCAAGGCAGCCCCGTGGGGTGCTCGTCTCTCACGGGGATGCTTCTTGCCGTGAAACAAAGCTTGCACATGGACTTCTGAGCAGGGGGCTCTGGACCGGAGAGCGTGTCGCAGCCTCGCTCATGCATCCTAGGCTTACCGTAGCCTGCCTCCTCTTCCTCTTCCTTTTCCTCCTCCTCTCCCCTCCGTGGCCATCTTGGCTCGAGCCATTTTTGCTCAAGCTTCGACGCAGCCGAGGAGAAGGCTCAGCGTCCATCTTCCGAGGACAGGCCTCATCGCTGAACCGTGCCCCGAAGCGCGTCCCGTGCAGGCCAAATCTTTCAGCTTTTTGGCGCACTGCGAGGGCTGGGTACACTGAGGTCGGATGACCAGCCGGCACACCGCGGACATGGCAGCCATCAGGCTTGCGGCAGCCAGTCCCAGGAGGAGGCCACCATGGGCATCGCCTGCAGCCAGTCTGATGACGAGGGCAGCCCTGAGAAAGATGCTCGCGCTAGCCAGGTGGGCAAAGGGCCGAATGGAAATGGCAAGGTCGACCACGATGACCCCATCATAGGACTGTGCAGCAGCAGCAGCAGCAGCAGACGCTCATGGAGACGAGCATGGACATTGCGGATGACGTGGGAGCATTGCGCATATCTTTCGACAAACGTGAGAAGAGGATCGATTCCTTGACTAGACGGATGCAGGCCACGGAGCGGTCGCTCAATGGGGACTTCTCTGACCTGCACCACAAGGCCATCGAACTCATCCTGAACAGCAAAGTCGCGGACATCCACCGTTATATTCCTTCTTCTGCCTCATCGACCAGCTCGAGTAGTACAGGACCCTGTGGAAAAGTATGGGTGGGGGGATGTGGGTTCCCTCGGGCTCTCCTCGGCAAGACTCTCGATTCTTACGGCCGCCGTATTCTGTCGCAGTTACCCAAGACCTCTCAGGATGCCTGCCTCAAAGCGTACAACCTTCAGAAGTGGTATAATCACACGTTCAAAGGCGCTGCATATGTTGATGGTTTCGTGGAGAGGGCTCGCAGCGAGGGGCTGTCGTATATACCGACCCTCGTGATGGTGTGCGCCACCTCCTTCGTGTCCGTAAGGACGCCACCGCTGCCATGAGAAGACGAATTCGCATCCTGGGTTTCATGCGGGACAAGATGAAGCGTTTCATGGTCGCCGCAAATTCCTGGAAGGCAAGCGCGAAACTCGGCAGTCCGGCCTTCAAGAGCGTGTTGTTTCTCATTGGGGACGAGGTACATCCGCCCGTCCAGCTAGAGGTCGGCGACAATGATTTGTTCCAGCTGCATCTACTGGCAAAGGCACGATCCACACTTAGGCCCTGGGTCGATGGCGCTCAACAGGGACTATTGCGGCCGGGCCGAACTTGCGAGGGCGAAGAAGGTTGTACCAAGTGCGACGACGTCTTTTCCCACGCCCATCCACGCTGGTGGTGCATCTGCGTTCCCACAACCAGGTGAAAGTGAACGGCTCGTTGTGCTGGAAGGTGTCTCGCGCGCTCCGTGCACTACGACCCGCACAATTCGAGGCCCGCCAGGCCTGCCACGGTCTTCGTTGCGTTCCAGTGCTCGGGCACGGTGTGCCTCCAGTGGTTCGAGCTCCTCTCCGTCTGTATCTTCCAGCAGCGACTCCTCTTCATCCTGCTCTTCCGCCTTTTCTTCTGGTGGGCAGTCTTGTGGCTCGCCCTGGCGTTCGCCCGTTCTCTCCTTCCCTTCCATTAAGTTCAGCAATGCATCTTGGATTTGCGGTTCGCCTATTTGGTTTCTGGGGCCCGATTTCAAGACGAATCGCCAGGGGCGTCACAGACTTGTGGATCTCCTGGATTGCCATGCCTGATTTTGCATTCAAGGGGCCCCAGGGACCCAAGAAGTCCTGGCACGCTTTGCTCGCGGTATCGGTGGTTGTCATGCATTTGGCATGTCCTACTCGCCCTACTCTCTTGACGGTTGAGTCATTTCCTACCTGCAGAGCTGCTCCAGCGTTCTCCGTAGCGCACCCGCGTTGGTCCTGGACTGGCAGGAACCAATGCCTTATGCCCGAGAATGGAACGGGTCGCCTGCAGATCTTGACCCGCACAGCGGTCGGAGGATACCGGTCAGGCCGGCAATGGGTGGGCTCAGGAGGGTTCGCATGACCATGTGCGGTTCCAGTGTTGGCGCCATGGCTGACGCCCATCCACGTTGGTGGTGCATCTGCATTCCCACAACCAGGTGAATGTGAACGGCTTGTTGTGCTGGAAGGTGTCTCGCGTGTTCCGTGTACTACGACCCGCGCAATTGGAGGCCCGCCAGACCTGCCGCGGTCTTCGTTGCGTTCCAGTGCTCGGGCACGGTGTGCCTCCAGTGGTTCGAGCTCCTCTCCGTCTGTATCTTCTAGCAGCGACTCCTCTTCATCCTGCTCTTCCGCCTTTTCTTCTGGTGGGCAGTCTTGTGGCTCGCCCTGGCGTTCGCCCGTTCTCTCCTTCCCTTCCATTAAGTTCAGCAGTGCATCTTGGGTTTGCGGTTCGCCCATTTGGTTTCTGGGGCCCGATTTCAAGACGAATCGCCAGGGGCGTCACAGACTTGTGGTCTCATGGATTGCCATGCTGTCTTTTGCATTCAAGGGGCGCCAGGGACCCGATAAGATATTGCATGCGTTGCTCGCGGTATCGGTGGTTGTCCTGAATTTGGCATGTCCTACTCGCTCTACTCTCTTGACGGATGAGTCATTTCCTACCTGCAGAGCTGCTCCAGCGTTCTCCGTAGCGCACCCGCGTTGTTCCTGGACTGGCAGGAACCAATGCCTTATGCCCGAGAATGGAACGGGCCACCTTCACATCTTGACCCTCGCAACGATCGGAGGATAGCGGTCAGGCCGGCAATGGGTGGACTCAGGAGGATTCGCATGACCGTGTGCGGTTCCAGTGCAGCCACTGCGCTGGCTCGGGGGAGGGATCTTGCCACGTGGATGCGAGGATCGCTGTTCCCTCGCGCGCGCCGGGGCTTATTCCGAGCGCCTTCGCCCTCGGCGGTGCGCCTACATTTATGCCAGTCTAATGCTACACTTGCATCGGCTTCTTCTTTGCGCGAGTTGCCCGACCGCGTTCTCGCGGCGGTCGCGCTCTCGCCCGGGGCGCAGCCCCACGGTTTCAAGGTGCCCGGGCGGGCGCCTGGACAAGTCGATTGCCGATTTCTGTAGCTGAACTAATCGGGGAAGATGGCGAGCTTAGGGAAGACCGGGAAGACCCCGTCGCATTTGCAGGCGGGATGGCCGATGTCCCGGCCGCAGGCGGCAAGAAACCCGCGAGGCAGTTCGAGTTCGCCAATGCATTCCCCTCCTTCGAGAAGCTCCCCATGGTGCCTTGCAGCCATCAGGGGGTATTCAGCAGCACTGTCCAATCCGCGTGCGATGCGTTTGTCGGGCTTTCCCGTGGCTTCTAGAGGTGATGAGGAGTGTGATTGATTTGGATGACCATGGTGAATTCCATGCCCGAAATCAGCGAGCTTCAACTTGAATGCACTCACAGCGAATGGGATCGCGTTGATGTTCTGGGCCGTCTACCAAACAAACCGATCAACTCTATTGTTTTAAATCCGCTGGGGGCCGCAATAAGAGAAGGATCCTGCTCGCCATCATCCTGGACCCCATAAGGAAGCACCTCTTGGACCTCCAGGAAGCCGCCGTGGATCTCAGTTATCTTCAATTTTTGTGCACGCACCTTTGATGCTGGTCTCGTGGGCGATCGATCCTGGTCTGCTTCCTATCCCCAATGGGTCCTCGGACACTGACCGACCGCCCCGGCGGCCTCAGCAGCCCCGACTGTGCCTGGCCGTCGACGTTAAAAAACTGTTATAACAATTTACCGTTCGCGGCCTTGGGCAAGCCTTCCATCTGCGTCGCGCATGCGATGTGAATGGGTGAAACGACGGGCTCGTCAAGAACAGGGGCATGGCTGACAACATCTTTGAACGTGAGGCTCGCCTTCATCATCTGGTCCAGCGCGGTTCTGCGCATAGTGGTTGCATCTGCGTTGATGCTCGCGCGGCTTCTCCTGCCCCTCGCCCGCGCTGCGCTTTTCAGTGCCCTATCTCTGATGGATGCCGAGATTCTTCGCCCGTGGGGTCAAGGCCTTCCTCTGTGAATTCGGGTGCCAGATCTGTTGGTTCCGTGGGCCTCGCGACAATGTGTCATTGCCTTTTGCGGGGCTCAGCATTGTCATTCGATGGCAGGCGCCCTCTGGGCCATTGTTTTTGACCCCGTCCTGAGGTTCTTGCGCCCTCGACTTCCAGCTCCGACGTCGTCGCGCGGAGTTTTCGCCGATGACGTCGGCGCGGCCGCGGGCGACATGTTCGGCGCCCTGAGTCTTGCGACCGAGGTATGGGCCGAGCAGGCAAGCGCACGCAGTCCACGCATTCACCCCGCGAAGACTGCGCCGATCTCCCCTAGCGATCTGACGGTGGGATCGCGGAGAGACTGCGACCACTCGCCCCGCGCAGCAGCGCGTGGACTGTCGCTCGACAGGGGAGGCATCCAGGGCCCACGTTTGGGGGGGGGGGGGGGGGGGGGGGCGGCATGTATATAGTTAGCCTGCGCCTGTGACGCATCTCCCGAGGGTCAGGCAGGCAAGAGACAGTGGGATCGGGATGGCGAGGGCCATGTCGCACTCTGCCATGCCGTGCTTCAGAGTACGGGGACATCTGATTCAGCACGCTCCGCCGTCTCCTGCTATGTTTGCTGCTCGGTGCTCTGGAATTCAGAATCTCGTGGGGGGCCGATGAATGGCATCACCGCTCCCATCGCCGCTCCCAGTAAGAGACCAGCCAGCCCGTCCAATGTCGTGAGTTGATGATAGTCTGCCGCGCAGGGAGGCATCGCACCGGGCTCCTCTCTTTAGCGCATCGAGGGGCCCGAGCAGATCTCGATGAATTTTGTAAATCTGACGACTGCCGTACTACGTAGCAGCGCGTTCCTCTTTGGGGGCAATCCTTCCCTGGGCTCATGAGCGATGTCGCCGCCCTTGTCGAAAGCATCCTTGGGGCAACCGACACCGCCGCCAAAAAGCTCCAGAAGGACACCGCAGCTTTCCAGAGGGGCCCAGGGAAATTGGTTGTTCGAGTGATGGGTCAGTGTCGCATGCGTCTTCTTGTCCCCGACGTGAGCCTTGCCCAGATGGACCGTGCCATGCTTTGAATGCGTCGATGAGATGAACGAGTTTCCTGCTCCGTTTCCGGCAGTGTTTTCATGTCGGCGTGTATCTGTTGGTGCACATGGCGAGGGTTTAAACCCGACTCCCTCCATGAATGGCGTGCGCCGCCCTGGGTGCCGATTCGACGCCGCATCTGCTTACCGGTCCTCGATCCGCTTCGCTGTTGACGGATCTGCCTCGTATCCCTTCTAGGTTTATTCAGGCCCCTGCTCGTTTGCGGGCCTCTCTTAGTGCCGCAATTTGTTCGTCTTTGCACGCGCAGCTGCCCATCGCTCTTTTCATTGGTGCCGTCTTTCATACGTTCCACTCACGCAAATTTGTTTGTCATTCGGTTTCGGGTTCTGCCCTTGGCAATCCAGGGATCGCCAGGCTGATCCGGGTATTTCGCGAGAAGCCTAGCCTAGGCAATCTCGTCGCGGCCGGCGTCGCCGAGTCGGCTAGGGCTGGTTTTGCCCTGCCGTTCCCGCCGATGGACCGCTCGGACTCGGCCCGCCGCAGATTCGATGCAAGGTCGAGCCAGCCTGCGTCCTAGCCGTCCCCCCCTCGGGCAGTGGGCTCCTCCTCCTCCTCCTCGTCCTCCTCCTCCTCCTCCTCCTCCTCCTCCTCCTCCTCGCTGTCCTCAATATGTTTTTCTCTCTCTCCTTCGTTCCTTCCGCGCGTCCTCCTATATCCTCCTTAGCCTTCCGCGTTGTCCAGGAAATTCGGCACCTCGGCGCGGGCGAGAAGATCTTCGACCTGTACCAGTGGAGCCAGGAGGAGGCGCGGCTTCCCCGGGGGGGAGGGAGGGCAGTCAGGAGATGCACAGGGCCAGGCCTCTCATCGTGTTCTGCCCCAGCACTCCTCCCCAACCTCCCCCCCTTTTCCCTCCAATGTGCGCGGCCCCCTTTTCGTGATTGTGCATGGCACGAAGGGGTCCTCTTGGGCGTCTCAGGTCCGCCCATGATACCCGTCGGCGGATGGAGAGACACATGCATCGCAATGGGAAGGAATGAGGATCAAGGGTGGCGATTTCAGATACGTATTGCGCGAGCGTGTTTTGTTTCTTCCTTCCTCGTTCCCATCGCCGATCCCTCCTGATGTTGACGTTGGCAGCGTTCTGCGGTCGCTCCAGCAGCGGCAGTTGGCTCTCAGAGCTGACAAGGAAGACGAGGAGGAGGATATGGGGGAGGAGGATGAGGTGGAGGAAGAGGAGGAGGAGGAGCAGGAGGAGTAGGAGAAGCAAAAGGAGAAGGTGTGTAGGGAAAGCGTGCGGACGTGGATGAGGGCGTGGATGAGGAAGACAAGTTGACCAGAGCTCACGGGCCCAAAGATTTGTCAGGGTAGGCCCTTAGCTGTCCAGAGGCCTGGGTCTCGGGAACCCCGACATTCGACCCTTCACCCCTTCTTGGCGGGAGCTTCCAGCCGGCGGGGTGCATGGCCGCACCCCTTTGTCTTCTCATCATCATCCTTCCGACTTGGGTGCTTAAGACGGTTAGTGGCCTCAAAGCTATACGTTTTCAGATTTGCGCCAAGTTTTCGTACGTGGGATTGATCCAAGGTTCGCGTGTGCCCCGCTATGTCTGTTGGCCCAGACGTTCCTCGAACACTTCTCAGGCATCCGGATGATAGCGGCTGATGGCCATCCACAGGGAGCGCTTACTATCTCGCACAGCCGCCGAGCGAGATTTGACTGCCGAAGCGCCGACCCGATCCGATCATGATCCTTCCCATGATCCAATTTCTTTCGAAAGAGACGGAGACAGTCGCCTCCTAGTTGTTCCTGTCTTCTCGTTTCCTCCTCCTCCTCCTCCTTGTCCCCACCATCCTCCTTCCCTCCGTAGCCATTTTGGCTCAAGGCCAGGTGTTCCGCCCGTTTTCGGCGCACGGGACCCATGTTGGCGCGGGACGCTGCCGCCGCCTCGTCCGCGGCGTGCGCAGCGAATGGAGACGGAGGGGGGCGACGGCGCCTTCGCGGCGCTGCTGGTGCTCGGGCGTCTGCCGACGCGCTGATCCAGCGGCTCACGCGGGAGCTTGCCTCGGCCCGCGCGGAGCACGCGGCGCTCCTGCAAACGCTCGGAGACGAGGAGGTGGTCCAGCGGCTGGTCGCCGTGGCACATGCTCTCGCCTCGCTGCTGCGGGGGCAGCACCCCGTGCCCGCGGACAAGCTGCGCAGGGACGTGGCCCTCCACGCCGTGGCCTCCGGGGTGGACGTGGTGCGCGCCAGTCCGCGCCAGCTGCGCGCGGCGCCGCGCGGTCCGCGCCTCGGCCCTCGGCAGGCCGCCCAGGAGTTGCGCCGTGAGCGTGCTCTGGTCGCACAGCCAGTTCAGAAGGATATCGAGGTCTGCTTCGCCGTGCCTTCGCGCTTGCTGCCCGCGCTCGAGCCGCTGGTCATTGGCCCGACGGAGTGGAACACGGATGCCTCCCGTTTCTTTCCAGGTGCGAGTCAGCACTTCCTCGCCCGCTGGTCGTGCGACGTCGCCACTTTGCTGACCGAGCTGCAGCTGCAGCCCGTTCTGTCCGAGTCGGAGGTTGTCGACGGCAGTTCCATCGGGGACAGGTGCCCTGGTACAGCTGAGTCTGAGGCGGCCGTGGGGGAGTCGAACGCTGCGGAAGCCGTACTCGTCGCACCTGGTGGGCCCTTTGTGGTGCCCAGCTGCGACTCCATCGCCGTTGTCGTCGATGCGCGCTCGGTGGAGGATGGCACGCAGCAGGAGTTCGTTGAGAGCGTCTCTCCGGCACTGGCTGCTGATGACCTTCCTCTTGGCCGCTCTCTCGGGTCAGGCGAAGTACTTGTTCATTCTCAAGGCGTCTCTCCTCTGGGTCAGCCTGCCGCTCAGGTCGCCTGCGGGTGTGTGGACGTGGAGCTCGGCTGCGCGCTGGTTTCGGCTGTATCCTCATCCTCCCCCTTCTGCGGTAGAGACAAGGCGATCCGTGAGGCGGGCCTCTTGCGGCGGCAGCCTGATGTACCGCCGTGGTTGCTTGAGGTTTGCGGTTCAGATCCTGGTTGCGCCCGTTGCGATGCCACCCTCGTTCGTCAGCGGCGCAGGCCAGGGAGGTGCTCATGCAGGGCGTGTGGAACTACCATTACTCGTGGAGCGGTTGTGTCAGCCTGTCCGCGCTGCCGTTCAACGTGGCACAGTTCGTGTCCCAGCCGCTTGTTCGACGAGGATTGGGACGACTCTGGCAGCTCTTCATGATGCCGTGCGTGCTCCTGTTCATTGAGGTCTTCTTCGGGTTAATGCCTGTGGTGGGTTTCACGGCAGGTGCACTCACGCTACAGGTGGCCTCACCCCACCACCTGTGAGTATGTGGGGGTAGCTTTGTGTCCATGTTTTTTTTGTAAAAAAATCCTCCTTCCCAATCACCCCTCATGCATGAGCCCTTGGGACGGCGTGCTCAGTCGATTAAGGCACGTCTCGCTCGCTGCTGTTTAGGCTAGTGCGCCCGAACTGGGGGGAGAGGGCGCAGGAAGGCACAGCAGCTAAGTGCTCAGGCTGTGCTTTCCCCCACGGCAAGCAAAGAACTAGGCCTGGGCTGCCATGGCCCATTCTGGCCTCGGCGGAATTGTGGGGCGCACTGCTGAGGATACCCTTGTATCCAGTTGTTACTCACAAGGTGCTCGCTGAATCGATTGTGACGTGCATGCGCAGAGGGAACTTGTGCGCAGAGAAAAGTGTGCGCATCAAATTTCACACATGCCGACGGCGTCGAAGAACTCCAGGGCGGGCATGGGCTGCGTCGGCTGCGAAGGCCGCACGGGGTAGCTCACCCTCCTGCCTTGCCAGCGCCAGCAGGGCGGGAACGCGGCTGGCCCTGGACACCGAGCCTCAATACAGCCAAAGGAATGAAGAAGTGTTCGATGAGGATGGTAGGAGGAGGAGCAGCAGGAGGAACGTTATGATGTCGTTGAGAATGAAGTGACGATGACATGTTGATTCAGAAGACGACGGCAAGCATGAGCATGATGATCAGGATGGGAGAAGCATGAGGAGCAGCGGGAGGATGAATGGAGCAGGTGCAGGACAAGGGCAGGGGGGGCGGACACAGGAGGACCAGCAGGAAGAGAAGGAAACAGGATAGCAGGAGCAGGAGTTGGAAGATGAAGAGAAGGAGCGAGGAGATAATGGCGGTGGAGGAGGAGGGGGAGGAGGAGGAGGAAGAGGATGAGGAAAGGCCGATGAGGTCTTTCCGACCAGAGAGGCTTGAGGCGTATGCATATTCTTGTTGCGCACGTTTCCTGCTCACTTCCTCGAGTAGCTACTTGGTTTACCTCCTCAACCAGGAAGGGTCAGGTTCGGTTCTGTTCGGTTAGGTTCCGAAGTGGGTCCAGTTCGGTTCGGTTCGGTTCGGCGTCGGATTTTTCCGGTTCGGTTTGGTTCGTCGTTGTCAAGGTGCCTTCCGGTTCGGCCCGGTTCGCCATGCGTTTCGCTCCAATTCCGCCCGGTTCGGTTCGAAATCACATCCGGTTCGGTTCGGTTCGGTTCGAAATTGGGTTTCGTTCGGTTTTGGTTCTATTCTGTTCCTGTTGGCAAAACGTGCTGTTCGTACATGTTCTGTTCGGCCTGGTTCGGTTCGGCCGGTTTGGTTCGGTTCCTGAATTGTCCTGCACTTAACCCATACCTCCTCGTCGTCCTCTTTCTTGCCAACCCCCTACTCCTCCCCTGCATCCCTGCGCTGGGCCGCTGCCTCCGCTTCATGCATGCGTATCACTCTCCCCCATTCCTCCCCCCCTCCTCCTCAGTCTCATCCCCATCCTTATCATCGTCGTCGTTATCACCCGTGCTTCTCCTCCTCCTCCTCCTCCTCATCATCATCATCATCATCATCATCATCATCATCACCATCACCATCACCATCATCATCAGCAGCATTATTATCGTCATCCCTGCTCTCATCCGACATCCCTCGTCCTCATCCTACTTCTCATCGTGTAGTGGCCTCCGGCCAGTGCAGCCGATCCGGGGTGCTACTCGCTCGAGACATCCTCATAAGGTAGAGGTGCTGAACTCGCGCCAGCAACCCTCGGAGATTCGAAAGTGCATGGGATGTCCCCTCCCACCTTCCGGGCCTGAATGGCGCCAGCCATGGCGTCAGCCCCCGCCCCCCCCGACTCCCCCGTCCCGGGCGTGAACGGCGTCCGCCACGGCGTCGGGTTTCCCCCCTCCCATCTCCTCTCCCGAGCCTGAGTGGCGTCAGCCCCCCCCCCCCCGACAGAGTGAAGCTTGAGCGAGCTCCCCCCCTCCCCCCTCTCCCGGGCCTGAATGGCGTCAGCCATGGCGTCAGCCCTCCCCGCCTCTGCCCGACTCCTCCCTCGCGGGCCCGAATGACGTCAGCAGCCGTGGAGTCCCCCCCCCCTCCCCCTCTCCCCCCTCCTGGGCCTGAATGGCGGCAGCTACAGCGTCAGCCGCCTCACCCCCCGACAGAGCGAAGCTTGAGCGAGCTCCCCCCCCTTCCCCCCTCCCGGGTCTGAACGGCGTCAGCCATGGAGTGAGCCCCCCGCCCCCCCCCCGACTCCCCCCTCCCGGGCCTGAATCCCCTCCCCGTCAGCTATGGCGTCAGCCGCCTCCCCCCCGACAGAGCGAAGCTTGCAACCTCTCCCCTTCCCTCCTCCCGGGCCTGAGTGGCATCAGCCATAGCGTCAGCCCCCCCCCCCTCCTCCCTCCCGGGCCTGTATGGCGTCAGCTCCCCTCCCCCCCCCTTCCCCCCCTTCGACAGAGCGAAGCCACCCTCCCCCCCTCCTCCTTCCCGGGCCTGAATGGCGTCAGCACCCCCCCCTTGCT